ACGTAACCACCGTAGTAGTAGAAGAGTGTGTAGTGGTCGTGGTAGTAGTCTACCTACTATTACTTATTACTATTATAGTCGTCGTCTATATTGTTGTTAGTCTCTATATATATATATATATATATATATATATATATATATAGGGAGAATCTGAAGTCAGCCTACTAGTTGATAGTTACAGCAACTGTCCAATGGCCCAGATTGAATTTGGGCGATCTAATAGTAACCATTGAATTTCATATTTGAATTTTAATATTTTTCTAAAAATTCAAATCACTTTAAATTTTGAGTGTATATTCCCAAAAATAGGAAAATAAAATAAAAATATTAAAAAATTAATTTGCAAAAAATATATTGATTAAAATACCCCTAAAAATTTTAGGGGTATTTTGGTCAATTTATTTTTATGAATTATTTTTTTAATATCTTTATTAGGTGCACCTTAATGAGAAAAGTGAACACCCAAAATTACATATAATTTGGTCTTCTATAAAAAATATTAAAATTCAAATACAAGATACAATCGTAACAGTCAGATCGGCCCAAATTCAATCTAGGTCGTCGGGCTTACACTATTCCATCAGCCCATGGGCTGATGGGATCTTTTCCCATACAGGATCTTTTCCCAATAACTAGAATCGAAGATTTTGCACAACCTATCTTTTATATGCCAGTAATCTTCATCAGTAATATTTTGAGGCTCGACACCCTAGCCCTCATGATCAAGTGTTGCATCTTTGGCGCGAAATCCCACTATTAGGCATAATCTAATAATGGTCACTACATAGAGCGACTCCCAAAATCAGATTGACTCATCAGAGGGCCAAGGGATCCTCACTCTGTACAAAGGGTGTCGTAAAGCAAGTCAAATATTTCATGGCTGAATTTAGGATCTAGAGAGCATAATCAGCAAGCAGGGCCTTGGTAATTGCGCTCCACAATTCGAGCTACCCCAAAATTTTATATTATAGTATATGTCCAACTCTAACGCCCTCATGCAAAGTTATGCCTACTAGAAAATCATGCCGAAAATTTTACCGTAAGAGTTAATAGGCTAGCAGGAAACCCGAATCAACCTGTTTCTATCCTTATGGGTCTAGTCGTTTCATTCATATTTCTTCTTAGATGCCCGCTAAGTTAGACAAGAGGTCTATTAGATGTACCTTCATTAGATATCTTGAGAATTCTAAGGAGTATGTCCTTTGTTATGACTTTGAAGAAGGTGGACAAAGAGAGACAAAAGTTGAAGTTCTCAAACAGGAAGCAGTCTTGGATGATTCTAAACCTCTATGAGATGATTCAAACTCAAATGCACGATGGTGAGGAGATTCCTCCACTAGAAGATGACAATGGGAGTGTTCCTATGGTCATTGAGGACGCTGGGGCAAGCTACCATTTTTTCCTGAACCTTGTAGGAGTGCATGGGGCAGAGTTCCCTGGACACATATTGAGATTAAAGGGGAAGGTCTGACATGCATCTCCATTGATGAGGATGAACACGGTTTACATTAGGAACCACAGAGTTCATCTGATGCAGACGAATGAATTATCACAATGGAGAGGAGATTAGGTCCATGTAAAAGAACCAAGTATAAGAAGTTGTGGATCTTCCCCCAAGAAGAAAGTCAATTTGGAACAAGTGGATCTTGATAATTAAGAGAAAGGATGACGGAACCATAGATAAGTACAAAGCATGTTTGGTAGTAAAAGGGTTTGCCTAAGTCGAAGGCATGGACAATGAGGAGACATTCTCCCATGTGGTGAGAATGGCCTCAATTTACCTATACTTGCGATTTAGGCGTACATGAATTTGCAGCTTTACCTAATGGATGTTAAGGCGACATTCCTTAACGAAACCTAGAGGAAAAGATTTACATGGAACAATTGAAGGGCTATGAAGTCCACCGGCAAGAGTAGAAAGTCTATATAGGTTTGTAAGTCCATTTATTGACTTAAGCAATTCTCCAGACATGGTCTAATAAGGGTGAGGACCTTAAACTTTCCCTTAACCCCTCCCAATCCCTGGTAAAGGAGGTGGTTTAGGAAAGCAACCAACATAAACCTTTGTAACATCTTATCATGAAGCCAACCCAAATAATTGGGATAAGGCTTCGATGATATATATATATATATATATAGAGAGAGAGAGAGAGAGAAAAAAAAAAAGCTAAAGTTAGCCCACTAGTTAACAGCTACAGTGTTAACCCAACGGCTTAGATTGAATCTACGCCAATCTGACGGTCACGGCCTCATTTCATAATATAATTTTAATATTTTTTAATACAAATCCAAATCACATGAAATTTTAGGTGTTCATTCTTCTCATTAAGGCGCACTTAATAACTCTCAAAATAAATCTAAAAAATAATTCTCAAAATATAAATTGAGCAAAATACACTTAAAACGTTTTGGGGGTAGTTTGGTCAATTTATGTTTTGCGAATTATTTTTTTGATATTTTTATTAAATTCTCCTTTAAAAGAATAGATGCTCAAATTTTCAAGTGATTTGGATTTATAAAAAAAAAATTAAAATTCAAATACAAAATTTAATCGTGACCCAATTGGATTGGCCCAGATTCAATCAGGATCGTTGGGCTAACATGGAGCACACTAGTGGCATTTAATATTCTATATGGGTGATGTCGCACCCCATGTAGATGACATCACACCCTCCTAATGCCCAAAAATACCCTTATTAAAAAAATTCATGTACAAAACAAGCATACAGAAGTGTCCAAAATTGTTGAGTACAATGATAAATTACTCAATAGTGTGAGCACACTAACATAACCCATATATACATATATATATATATATGGGTAGTGATCTAATGCAATGATTGTATCATAGTATAATGCAACCACACTTCTAGGAAACTATATTTGTGGTATTTGTATGACCCAAAATTTTGTATACACACTCTTCATCCCAATAATCAATCAAAAAAAAAAAACTAATTTGTACCCTATGTATGGTCAAAATGAGTCCCGTCCAACAATAAATCTAGACCGTCCATTTGATGAATTTCAAGATCTAGGCCGTTGTGAATTCAAAATCACTTTTTCCTTTTTTAATATTGTTAATCTAATGATAATAAAATTAACTAAAAATTTTGGAAAGAAAAAAGATCATTAACAGGCCTAGATCTAAGCATCCCACCAAAATGAACGGCCTATGTTAATTGGGATAAAAAAGTACTTTCTAAGTTACATTTTCAAATTTTTCTTTTTTGTGATTGTTCATTAGAATGAAAATAGTGTATATTTTAAAATTTGGATCAAACAAATGGCCCTAGTTTCTGAATATTGTTGCATTATATTACTATGTAACCGCTTTATGAAATCACTACCCTATATATATATGGGTGCAGTTTGCATACAAATGCATCCGTAGCTGTAGAGGTGAGGTGCACCTTCAAATCTTATCATAGTATATACTTTTGATGTAAAATGTTCTTAGGATTATCTCAAAATCTATTTTTACATCCAATTATAAAATTTTAAATTTCAAAAATGGTTAAAATCAAGAAGAACTATAAAATGAACGGTGTAGATAATATGTTGTAAAATGCATTATTTCTGAGACTTAAAATTTTTTTATTTTTCATAGTCATACATCTCGATGTCGAAATGATCAATCAAAGGGTTTTTCAACATTAAAACCACTTTTTCTGATGGATTTTGAGGGGCATTCATAGTTCTACATTATAAGGTAGCATCCTTATATAAACTTTTTCCTTTATATATACATATATATATATATATATATATGGAAAACACTACGCAACGCCTATAGGCGAAAATGAACAGTGATTTCACCTACCCCCATCATCGTCTAAAGTTCATCGCGCGGTCACGTTTATCCGGTAGTGTTTCATTTTTCATTTTTTTTAAACAAATCGGAATGACCTGAAATTTAGAGCACGTATTCATCAAAAATAAGGGAATCTTTGAAAATTATAAAAAAATATTTTACAGGAAAAAAATGACCAAAATACCTCCGAAAAGTTTTGAGGGTATTTTGGTCAATTTATTTTTCACGGATAATTTTTTTTATATTTTTACTCAGTAAGATGTACATACCCTCTAAATTTCAGGTCATTTCGATTTGTAGAAAAAAAATGAAAAATAAAATACTACCGGACAATCGTAACCGCACGATGAAATTTGGATGGTGATGAAGGTAGGCGAAATCACTATTCATTTTCGCCTATAGGTGTTGGAAAGACTTTTTCCTCTATATATATATATATATATATATATATATAGAGAGAGAGAGAGAGAGAGTAGTAGTCGTACTACTACGAAGTAAGTAGAACGAACAACTAACGAACGTAACGTTACGTTACTACTTAACTTACGTACGGACGGTACGTACGT